ACAACAACAAGAACATTTCGGATTCAAAATGGCGGTCGTGTTCGATCGGCCGCTGAATGACCATAACGGACTCGCTCTGTGCTTAAAAAGGACACTTCTAGGCAAGTGGTTTGTCAGCAACACACACTTTATTAATTGTTTTTTTATTCGCTGTGACGTTGAATGTATAGCATGAGGATGTAAAGGAGAAATTGTCGATGTTTTGACCACTGTCCTTCCGGAAGCTTCCTCCCACGACATGCCTACAAGTGTAAAAGTCAGTATTTGGGGCGCAGAACCAAATCAGTTAATTGACTGCACGGAAATGACTTCTTACCTCCGACCTGAGGTCGCATTCGGTTTCCGTTCTAATAGCGTGCTTAGTGCAGTCACTCTAGCAAATCCTCGAAAAAATCCTTCAAAAATTCTCGTTCAAATCCGACAATTTTTCGGAAGATATGGCTCCCAAACGTTCGAAGAAGTGCCCAGGATAATCTCCAAGCAGATCTTTCGGTGGCAAGACAGTATCCATTGGCCAGAGGAGTGTCCATTAGCCACCGAAGATCTGCCTGTACTCGCACAGGGAGGAGCACTTCTTTCAGAGAACGTGTTGCTGCCCCTCCTTGTGCCCCTATTAACACCAGTCCGCGCTAAGACTTTTACAAGCGGTTTATAACCTGAATCTGGGACGAGCGCAATGACCCGGCACGCCTCAGCATGAGTCGACTCGCCCGCCAAATGCATCACAACGCAACAAAGTAAACGTGAAGAAAATTAAATATTGCGATACTGACAATTAAATTGTTCCAAAAAAACGTAAATCACACTCTGTACCATATAGTTGTTATGATATTTAATAAAATTGCGAAGAAAAAAGCGTTCCTAGACGTATATGTGATAGTAATTCACTTTCATTTCTTTATGTTTGGATTCGGTGAATGATTACACCGAGCGCGCCATTTTGTCAGGCTAAGAGGCTTTCTTCTGTCCGTTTCGCCATGTGATTTGACTCTCTGCATCGGCATTATGGCTTACCAAGAGAGGATAGTGAAGAGGTGGGTATTTTTTACCATTTTTTGTAACTGGTATTGTTCTAGTGTTGCCATTCATGCGTGGATAGCTCCGTCATTTCTCGTCATGTTCCTGTGTGGGAGGGGGGCAAAATGACTACAGTATGTACCGCGTGTTCGGTGTAGTGACCACGTTTGGCGAAATAGTAAACGTTAAACAGAGACAACTATGCCCCAACAATGCCTATACAAGCCCCAACAACGCATTTTCATTGATTTTTACATGTGTTATGGTAGAAATAGATTGTTCCTTCCGCTTTGGAGAACTATATTTTTACATGGCCCACACTATACTTATCAACTCATAATCAAGATTCGACATAATTGTACTGCAAAATCATGTATAGTAGGTGGTTTGTAATTGATGTTACTAGCTTCTTGTATTATTTATTAGTACCTCTCTATTCATTTGCTTCTAGGATAAGGGAGACTTTCTGCAGTGATGAGTCTGGAACAGTTGAACAGAGAAAAATTATTGAAACACTCAGTGACTTAAAGCTCAAGCCACAAGAAGTTGGAAAACATGTTAGGGTTGCATTTCCCCATGTCACGGTGAGACATGGGAAGGGAAAGAGGGAGACAGTGTACAATGGCATTACCACCCGTCAAAATCCAAGGTCTCAGTGTCAGCCATCGTTTCCAAGTAATATCACCAGTCACCAGTTCCAGTCTCCAAGTCACCAGTTCCAATCTCCAAGTCACCAGTTCCTGTCTCCAAGTCACCAGTTTCAGTCTCCAAGTCACCAGTTCCAGTCTCCAAGTCACCAGTTCCAGTCTCCAAGTCACCAGTTCCAGTCTACAATTCTCCAGTCTCCAAGTCACCAGTTCCAGTCTCCAAGTCACCAGTTCCAGTCTCCAAGTCACCAGTTCCAGTCTCCAAGTCACCAGTTCCAGTCTACAAGTCACCAGTTCCAGTCTACAAGTCACCAATTCCAGTCTCCAAGTCACCAGTTCCAGTCTACAAGTCACCAGTTCCAGTCTCCAAGTCACCAATTCCAGTCTCCAAGTCACCAGTTCCAGTCTACAAGTCACCAGTTCCAGTCTACAAGTCACCAGTTCCAGTCTACAAGTCACCAGTTCCAGTCTACAAGTCACCAGTTTCAGTCTCAACCATTCCAAAGCCAGATGTGTCTCAGCCAACACGACGTAATAACTATCGTCAACAAGTATCAACAAGAACTGGAAGCGGCTCGGACACTGAATGTTTCTCTCACTGAGCAACTACGTGATGCACGGACCTTCCATTTATCAGAGGTGAAGGAAGTAATGAGAAAGGAGATGACGGCACTTACCTCCAGTAGCAGCCCCATTTCGAAACCTGTCAAATGTGCTGAGGACATCAAATCATTTTCTATAGAAGAAACGGCAAACTTTCTGCAGCAAGAAGCTCCAACCATACACTCCCTTCTCACCAACCTTGTCACACCCCTGTACAACCGAGTCGAGGATCATTCCCAATCAGTAGCTACAGTCATCTTGTCATCCATAGCCAACCACAACAGCCAAAGAACCAACGGACTGCAAACTATCATCGGCCTTATGCTGGTGGCAAGAACTTCAAACGACCAGGTGGTGTACCTTCAGTATGATTTTTTAATCTGTTAAGATATAGATACTCTTCAACTATTCCTAACCAGTAGTACATTATGTATTTGTAATAACATAATCTTTTAACATGATTTTAACTACTGGTCATTGAAGAGATGAGCTAAAGACAGATGTATATTTTGTACAACTGGTAGGTTTCTGTCTTTTTTTTGTGGTAAATTTGATTTACATTATAATTCTATAGACAGGGCTGAATCATCAGCATGTATTTATAATTTATTGTTTCCATTTTTAAGGTTATCCACACCTTCAACCATGCTGGGTTAAGTGTGTCAAGCACTAAGATTTGGACAGTGATAAAGGACAACGCCAAGAGGATGAGAGAGGAGACAAAGTTAACCAGTGAAGAACAGTTGGCATATGACAACATAAATTGCCTGAAACGGGTGCGCCAAGTGAGAAAAGGTACCGACATAAATGACTTAGTATTGTCTGTTATGCAATACACTTTCATTTCTGTGTTGTTGTTTTTTTACAAATGTGCACCTCCAGCTTTTTCTTAGGGAATAATGCAATGTGTGTGAGTCATTATTTTTAGAAGCATATCATTACAGCCATTACTGTAGTAGGTCATGTATTAACGCTTTCTACTTTGCATGGCACATCTCACCAGTATTTATGTGTGTGCAGTGACAAACAAAGTTTTTAACTGCTTTGTATTTTTTGGATTGACTGTGACAAGTTACTTTTTTCATCTAATTTGACAATGAATTTTATCGTACAGAGAAACATGCAGAAATGTATAATTGGACTACCAGAGTGGCAGTGCCCCTGAGGAAGAACCCAGAAGGCCTTTCATCTGAACCGCAGGTATGAAATGACTTTATTTAGAAAATGTACATTTGTTAGATAGAGCAGCATTGCTTTTATTATTAGTATTTTTTATTTAAAGAGAATGTGTTAAAAAAGATGTGCACTTTCGTGCACATATCTGACAAACTATCCTGTAGATGTGACAACTAGATATTGTTGTTTTACAGGGGGATCGGAGGAACTTAACAGTCAGAGATATCCTTCCCAGTCTGGATGATGTGCAGGACATGAAGGGCAGACTATTTACAGCTGTTAAGGCTTTCGTCACCAGGACATTCAAACCCTTCAGCGAGTCCACCACCTCCACCCCGGCTGCTCCAACCCAGCGCTGGCTTCCTAAGATGTCCTACAGGCCCCTTGAACTGCTTGATGAAGATGAATCAAAAACATCTGACAATATCCGCATCCTGAATAGGTTTGCCATGGAGGCAGGGATGGAAGGCGAGCTATGCTGGGATCAGGTGAGCTGTTTTGTTTACATGAGTAATCTTAACTACTATTCTGTATTATTGATTCAATTGAGCTGACTTCTTCTTGCCGCTTAACTTGAATCTGTAGTCTTGCACCTTGGTATGTTTATTGTATTTTGTGGAGATTTTTCAGACATAGAAAGTACTTGATGATCGGTAGCACGGGTCCAAGAAATGACTGACAACATAAAAGCGATGTTTGTCAGTTTTTACTGCAGCTGTTTCGGTTCATGTTAGATTTCTTATAATGTTGTGTATTGGGCTGTGCTTAACTACATCTGTTTGTATTTCATTTTCAGTTAGTCGTTGGGGACCAAGCGACTTGTAAAAACATGCGCGGGGCAAGGCGCTTTCGATGGGATGAGGAGGATGCCACTAAGAAACTCACTTGGGTGAAGGAAAATCCTGGTATGAATGATCCCCTTAACATGTGTGCCATTTTCAAACATTTCCTTAGTGTGTGCAGTACTCCATTTTGAATTTATTACACCTTACATCTACATGTGTGTTAGGTTACCTCTACTCCACACAGAATGATTTTTTTTGTCATATAACATATCACGTTGCTGTATTCTCAGGGGATTTCCACTTTCTCTGGGAAGTGGGGAGATGTGTTCTGCTAGCCCACTCTACGTCGCCTAGGGATGTTGGGTCAATGGGACACCTGCGGGATCTTGTGGATCGACGGACAATGGACTCAAAGGGTAACTTACTTGAACTCTCCCCTACTACATATTTTACTATTTCTTTTTTAAAAAGAGCATTGGGTATTGCAGAGCATGTTACCTTTGATTTAAATAACTTGACTATGTGTGTGACTTACATTCAACAGTGTGCTTCAACATTCCAACATAGTAAGTGTTCCTTTGGTGAGCTAGTGTTGTAAATAATGAGAAGGAGAACACTTTTTCTTATATTAGTATATTGTACACATAAGATAAAATTTTACTGTTATATTCCAACAGATGGTGTGGAGGACCTGACAGTGTAACAAAACACAACAATATTTGCAACTATTTGTTTTTAACATTACTGATCAATGTTTTTCCAGGTAGCAACTTCAATGCCCTTGATGAATTCATACACCATGCCCATGATGCCCACTTAGCAGCTGCTCTGATGGCGCACATGGGGCTAGAGTCACTGTCAGATACGTATCAGGGGGAGGACAGCGTAGACGACATCTGCAACACATTTCTGCAGAAATACATCTTCGGGGTCAGACACCGAGACAAAGCTGATGATTCCCTCTACAACTTGTGCACATCACTGCTGTACCACCTCCTACTATACGTTGACCTTAGGCAGGCAATCAGGTGAGAAACAAAGATTTGAATTGACAAAGGCATGACATGATGAGTGTTACACGTGCTGTTTGTTAAGCACTGTAACACACTAAAGCTGCTCTTTACTATATACATGTATATATATATGTTTTTTATATATAAATTTTGGTAATTGCAAAGGTACATTTTTTGACATTTTTACAAACACATACTATTTTGGAATAAAGATAATGGCACTGAACATGGACATTTGGTTCTTCTACTCCTGTACAGATAAAACTCTTTCTTATGTTAAATACAATGCATGTATGTCACATTTACAGGTATGACAACGGCCCTGCAATTGTCGCGCATTGGAGCTTCTGGCTCGCCACGCTTCTGGGAACTGGCAGAACTCAGTATAGCACTGAGGCCGCCAACTTTATCTGCAACATGAAGGCGGACTGGTCGGAAGCAATTTCCAACCTGGCCACACACAACAGGACCATCAACACACATGGCAGAGAGGGACACAGCAAACCAATCGATATGTTGGTGGAACACTACAACAAGTATGTATATATATATACACCATAATTTCTGACAACAATGGGTAAAACTGACAACCATTACTGGAAACAAGCTTACAATGTATCAACTGTATATACACTGTATCTGGAAACAATTACTTATTTGATAGCATTCTTATTCAGCATTGTACTGACACACTAAGAGACATAAATACCATGTATTCATATGTCCAATCTAAACTTTTTATATTGTCGCACTTGTACAGTTCAAGTCAGTTCTGTCTTTTAAACTTATTATGTACAATTACAGGATCCTGAAGGGTGTGTACAGGGCGTCTGGTGGACATTTGACTGTGGAGCATGCCAAGGATGCATCCCTAGCTGTCCAGATGTTTGATGAAGCTAGGAAATTCTGCTCCAAGCTCTTCAACACAAGGCAGACTGTTCGCCACAGTGTACCATCTGCAGACCGGGACATCAAACTGATGACAGATGCTGTTGTTGATGAGAAGACGTACAACATCACCCCAGGTAGGAGATTGTTAGGGAACAAGACATTTGAAAACCCAGTCACCAAAGGCATGGCCAAGATTACAGAGGCCAAGTGGCTGGAAAGTTTCCTTCAGAAAGAAGACGGCCGACTGCCACAGACCCCCGATGCCACAGATGCCAACATGGAAGGTGGGAACAACATGGTGGAGGAAGAAGACGCGTCTGATGACAACAGTGACGACAACGCGGACAGCGACGAAAGCGATGACGATGATACCAACACTGACCTACTTATGGATGAGTAACGTATGTTTTCTTAGAGTACAGTGTTTGTCAAGTCACGTAGAACTCTGTTGTTGTTTCCTTGTTGTCTGTTTCTTTTTGTTGTGTTTGTCTCCTTCTCCTTCTCCGGAATATGGCGGTTAATGATTGATAAGATGTGTGCTGTCATGTCTTTGGGGACACCTTTCAGTTTAGCGAGGTCCTGTTCTGTGTGTATAGAATGCACGTTTTTGACAATCCTGTCGATGGCAGCATCAGCCATGAGACCACATGGTCCGATGAAGAGGAACTGTTCATTCTGCTCGAACCACTCGTCCCTCATGTCATACAAACTGTTTTTAAGGTTTTCCTCATTGCCCGTGTCCGTTTTCCTTTTGGGGCGAGGCTTTTGTCTTTTTTTTCCTCGTTTTTCACCATCTGGACTGTTGGATGTGAAGAGGAACGTGTCAACACTGTCCCCACCACAGACACTGCAACATGTCATAATCTCCTCCATCTCTTCTTCCCTATCTTCTTCTCCCAGGTGATGCAGCAGTTCCTTGCGAAGGCACCTGTCCGTTTGGATGAATTCTGCAGCACCCTTGTCTGCCGTCTTGGTATCTGCCGCACTGTGGAAGACGACAGCATATGCCTGGTCGCCACCTCTGCCTGCTCTTCCGATTTGCTGAAAAATCACAACACAGTCAACAACTACAGCATTTACATTTAAGTTACAATTCTTACATACTGGTAGTCATAGCCAGTGAGAGCTATTAGTTAAAGACGATTGATAAGATTGCAGTACTGTATAAGCTACAACTGATCAATTAGAATTCCAACATTGTTCAAATGTCTACATCTATGTAATTCAAGTAAGCTTTACCTGGTATAACTGGCCAATAGTGGAGGGCAGCTGATAGACGATGACTCCCTTGACGTCTGGGATATCTATCCCCTGCAAGAGCACCATTTTGAATGCATCAGCACATCTGCCCTTAATTATAATGTTCAACACAAACCCTGATACAAACATAGTTTTCTTGGAAATCAGTGTACTGTTATGCCTTTTTATTATGAATGTCAGCTTGTGGAGTTTTTGTTGTAACAGGTAGGAGTCAACATGTAGGAATACCCTTCATTTTTCCTTTCATATAAGACATTTTGTTGTTTATTGTTTTGTTACTTTTTACAGGCCTTTCTTACCAGCCTATGTTTAACCTATGTTGATGTGTACTACGTTGTTAGAATGATCATTTTAACAGTTTTTGATTAGATGTTGGATAAGTTTAAAATGACATGAATACAAACCATTCCAAACGCGACGGTCGCTATGATGATGCGGATACTGCCATCCCTGAATCCTTCAAGCACATTATCCTTTGCACTGGCAGAGATATCGGCATGGAAGACCCGGACTCTTTTCTGCATGGCAGGGCTGCATTTGTTCTTAAACAGGGCCCAGACCTCCATAACCTTTTGCTTTCTGCTTACATACACCAGATGTTTATCAACATCTGTGTGGGTAGCTGCCTGGTGCACAGCATCCAGCAGAGGTCGAAGGTCGGCCTGTTGTAATTAGAAAGGAATAGTCCGTATGAAACACTGTATTTGACTGGGTGATTGATACTGGTTAAGTGCTAATTATGTTGTGTTACTTCCTACAATTCCCTTTCTGATCATTGTTGTACCGAATCATTTCGAAGGTACCGGAATTATGCACAGTGTTTATAGACAATATTAGCCTTAGTTATAACCATCGTGGACAGCTGCAGTATGCAGGGGTTTGATGCTAGGATACTCAAATAAGCATGTATGGATTGGTATGATAAATTTGTATTGTTTTGTATGGAACATATTTTCGCATTTTTCGAAGATTACTGATGAAAGTTAGTTGCATATTGATTTTTGTGCACAATTGCCCACCTTTATGCTTGATTTCTTCTTCCGCAAGAGGAAGATGTTCGTTCTGTCCAGACTCCCTCTTATGATTGTGGGCGAGTTCATGTGTAGTTTCTGTATGACCACCTCCTGGACCTCTGGGGTGGCCGTGGCGGTAAGGCCCATGAAGGGAACCCCAGGTGTGCTGGCCCGCAGGGTACCGATGGCGTTGAATGCCGTCCTGAACTCCGGTCCCCTGTGAAAGAAGTTTAGAAATGGTCATAGGCTATTCGTCTAACAATAGCATTGAAAAGACAACGAGACAAGTGTAGCATATGTAGTAAATGTTCCCAAATAGATATTTACCAGTCCAAAATACAGTGAGCTTCGTCAATCGCTACCAGGGCAATGGGTAGGGGTGGGTTCTGAAGCAGTGCCCTGCCTTCTGCAGAGATCAGCTCCTCTGGGGCCATGAAGACTGCAAAGTTGAGAATATGATGTCATAGTTATTATCAATGTTTTGACTCGATTTCTCTATCACTTTAATCAAAGACATTACATGCTTCAATCTCCTATGATGTGCACCCCACATATCATACTGATATCTCGTGTATGTTTGTTTCATTATAGCCCTGATCTGGATAATATCATTGTGTAATATTGTTGTTATACTGTGAGCATTGCTTACCCAGTCGCACACCAATGTCAGGGGCATCCTTAAATCGTTTTACATCCAACGATGAGCGAAGATGTGCGCCCTTGTACCCGGTGGTTGCCTCGAAGCGGTGAATCTGTAAGATGTGTGTTTTTAATACAGGCAAACAATATGTGTCCACAAGGTAGACTTTGTACTAAAGCTATGCTACTGAAACATGGAAGTGAACATGGAGAAATGTCCTGATAGATCTAATGTTAAAAGAGGCGAATTATTCCCCAAGAAATCGATCCAACGTTGTATAAAAACCTAATCAAATGGACCCTGCCCCGGCCAATTGGTATTTCCCTACTGTTTAGCCATCGAGATCTGCTTGGAGATTATAAAAACCGTCCCTATTTACGAACACAGGGCCCGTTATACGTGCAGCATCATGTATTTACGACGACACAACGTGCTGGTGTTAGACTTATATCAGGAACGCAAACGGAATTTGATGAAGCCGTATGTTGGGAAAAAAAAACAGTTCACTTTAAAAATGTGTCCCAACCTAAGTCAATTTTAAACGAAAGCGTTACGATCATGACTTCTAGAAGCTCGGTAAACATTTAGCTGCCCCCCTCCCCCTTAACTTGTTACGTGCTGCCAGCGGTCTGTTCTGTTTCGTAAACAAAACAAATGAAAGAAAAAGTAAAATCACTATTTTCTGAGCTGCTGTGGAGTTGTGTTAGATAATGTACGATATAGAAGAAAAGATTAATGAAATAAAAAGCTTACCTGGTCGCTCATTAGAGCCCGTAATGGCGAAACAACAACCACAAGTTTCGGCTCTGTTACGCAAAGGGGAATGCTCTGATAACAGAGTGATTTCCCACTTCCTGTGGCGATCCCCAAGAAGACATCATGGCCTTCTAGAGCAGCGATGGTGGCGCGTAACTGAGTTTCGCGAGGCTCAAAATCCCAGACTTCGCGGAACACACGACGAACCTTCGCCTCCATGTTTAAAAGACCGAAATAACGGTCGGGTGCGGTGACCCGTAGAGAGACTTCCGGTAAGGGGTCGTCCGGCTGGCTGGCGTGGAGCGGCACGCGCTGGGCCCTTGGAGGGCAATTAACACCTACTCGGCAAGCAGGTTTGATTAGCCAACAATTAGGTGTTAATAGCCTTTGAACGTTTCGACTAGAGGCAGATCTTCGGTGGCTAATGGACACTCCTCTGGCCAATGGATACTGTCTTGCCACCGAAAGATCTGCTTGGAGATTAGTTTCACCCGTATCATTGGAATGATACAGCCCTCAGTCAACAGATGTTTCACCTGTGTCATTGGAATCACATAGCCTTCAGTCGACAGATGTTTCACCTTTTTTCGGCAGATGTCGACATAAGTTTCACCTGTGTCATTTGAATGACACATCATTTTTCGTCAGAAGTTTCCCCTGTGCCATGGAAATAACACGATCTTTTTTCGGCAGAGGTTTCACCTGTGTTATCGGAATGACACAGCCTTAAGTCGACAGAAGTTTTATCTGTGTCGTTTGAATGTCCTAGTGATCCTTATCTGTCAATATTATATACATTATAGCTCATGTTGCGCAGGCTATTTCCAAAGGTATGTGCGTAACCTGCATGGTTATGCAGGTTACGCACATATACACTATATAGGTCGAACTTATAGACTATATAGGTCGAACTCCTCCCGTTAGTGTTAGACTTACGGTTGGGGGTTAGGGTTAGTTAAGTTTTAGTGGCCAAGGAGGTTACATGAATGAACTCTATTACACTAACAATTGTACATGGTACAATGTATGGCAGCGTGAACAATACAATACTTAACTACAGGAATATGAACGTAAACGGCGTATGACATGATGTGCGTTAGGCGTTGGTATCTGTTATAATACTTTCTCTCTATTATGCACTACATATCAGTACATATATATTGGCCTTAAAGTACGTAGATATAGAGTCGGGGCATGACATAAGTAGATTGAAAATGTCTATGTTTGTCTTTGGGAGAGGTTTACCAGCTTTACTTGTGATCAATTTCATTAATTTTTGTCTATCTAAAGTATATGCAGGACAGGTCATTATGAAATGCAATTCGTTTTCAACGCCTTTATGACACGAGGGACACAGTCTCTAATTCGGGCTGGTGTGTTACAGTGGCGACCTTTTCCATTGTAAAGAGTGGGCACTAATCCTAAGTTTTGTTATGCTGTTTCTGAATGATTTGTTTTAAATTGATAAAAGATAGTTCAAACAGAATTGGGTTTTAATTTTGCAGTAGGTATCGAGTTTGGTAAGACTTTTAATTTCTTGTCTCCAGCAAGAGAGAAACGTGTTTTGTAGACGATCTTTTGAGATATGTCCAAACTGGTTGGTATTAACGGAAGGATTTAACCATATATTTTGAAATCCGTGCCTAAAAATCATGTCCTGAACATGGACAGCCCAGTCTTGTTGTAGTTCAACGGAACAGGTTATATAAGCTTTCATAACGATCCTGTCGTTCGGTAAACTACTTCGGTAGGCGAAGCCAATATTTTATTAACTTAATGTGTTTGTGAATCGAGGTATAATGGGAATACCCCAAGTTCACCCTGACGGTGGCGTTAACGGAGCTTCTGGGCACGCCAAGTGCTATTTCACAATTTAAAAGTACGAACTCCAGATCGGGGATTTCATCCTGGATATTGTTGGTTGTTTGATTGTTATGTTCATGCAAGGACGTTACACACAACGTCCTTGGTCCATGTCTTTTGATATGCGTGATTGATATAAGATATTTAGTTTGTCACTCGGTATTTTTTTAATCGTACCACCCCGGCATGACTCAGGTATATAGGAAACTCCCAAGTAGTATCAGAGTCATGTATTTGACAGGATCATGTATTTGGTTTCACCCCGGTACACGTACGCGATACGTAAGGTTAGAGGTGTGACCCGGAAACAAATGGGAAACCGGGCGCCACGAAACCCCCATGCGGTTGGTATAATTGGCCAAAAAACATGGCGGAAACCTCGGAAAATCTGGGAAAGGCCTAACTTTGACGTGCTGAACGTTGTTTCTTGTTTAAGGCACAGTCAATTCGTGAACGCCTGGCGGTGGTCTGACTTGTTGGGAATACGGGGATACATTTCATGGCCTGTTTTGGTGCACCGTGACTGAACTATGTCATTTTATATATACCATTCAAATGCATCATTTCGGCGCGTAACACCCGATCTGCCGCCGCCATCTTGGATTTTTTTGGAAAGCTGCAATTTGGCCCAAACCGCTAGAGGGGGCGAATTAAAATGTTTAATATATTCGGTCTGAAGTTTTAGTAGCTCTAGCAGTAGAGGAGAAGTTTGATAATGCATAGAACGGATAAAATAGAATAAAATTAAATAGAAAATAAAAATAAAAACAGAAATAAAAAAATAAAATAGAAAAATAAAATAAAAAATAAAATAAAAATAAAAAAATAGAAATAAAATAGAAAATTATTGTAGTGGTTACATATACTTAACGTTAACGTTATATTGTATTTAGCAATGATCATTTTTCACTAATTCCATTGAAGCAAATGATAATGGAAGCCAACTTATTACCCTGTTTGGTGTTACAGGTATGAACATACTAGGTAATACATTCTTTCCTCTCTAGCAGTTACACAAATCTATGTGGACATCCTCCAAGAACACAAAACTACATGGCCAGCGGCCGAGATAAACTTTTTTCAAAAGTCTTGTTGCGTTTGCGACCGCAAACGGTCGCAAACGCAATGTTTTCGGATCGAAGGCTGGGCGCTTCAATGGTTCAACGAACGGTTCAACGGGTGGACGGGCGGACGGACCATGCATGACAAAGCCTTGCTCCTATTCCTACAGTCCTTTTCAGTCTCATATGCTCGAATCGCTAAAGCTGTGCTACAATAATATAAAAAGCTCACACAGCAATAAGTCTGACAAAGGGATACATTTTATAATATGATTTCACGTTAAAATGTTGCTGACGCGAGTCATAAACTGGCAAAAAACACGCACTGTTCGTCTGGCCATATATTATGTTAATTGCCTGCAGCACCGCCTATGCTCGCCAGGGGACATAATGTACTAGTATGTGTGAGCGCAAGGAACCTCCTTGGTGTGCGTAATATTTATTGTTAAAACCCTTAGCTGTGTACATGCCCTGTGTGCGGGTCCATGTACATTTACAGTATTCGGAATGGCGGTATTTCCCGGCAAAAACATAGTGGCTCTGTGAAGGTCAGGGGTCAAATGGCATTGCATCAACACAATTCCTTGCGGCTGTCGTGTGCCGAGCTTTCTATTTGTTTTTAGTGTCTTTTCGGCGATAAAGTTCTGATTTTAGTCGCGAAATGTCCGGATTTACGCTACAAAATACGTGCTTGGGGACCTTGATAGTAATAATTTTAGGGAAATTTATCCTACCCTCGGCGATCGAGGATTGATCATCATTATTGCCCCGATGGGAATTTGTACTTAGTACGTAGGAGTTTGAGAACTTGGCATCCGCCGCGGAGTCGACAGTGGTCCGCGATTTTGCAAACAAGGTAGACGTAGGGGGCGAGAAGTACATGTATGATGTACCTTATTTTTAGAGCTCCATAAAGAAAAATACCGTCCTTGTAATAAATTTAACGTTTCAGCTGAACAGTCAGTTCAGCACCCAGGACAGTCTGTAGTCATAAAATTCACCAGTAGTACTTAATT